ACTCACAACAACAACAACAACAACAACAACAACAACAACAACAACAACAACAAGTCCACCATGGCTATGTCTTCCCTCCTTCAACCTCTTCTCTCAAGCATGGGCCATGGCGGACTACTGGAAGGCAGCTATGATGCTGCCCTGATGCCCGAAAGACAACTCAAAGCAGCTATGTCGCTGCTTGACTTGGTCTGCTATGTCTGACCCTGCCTCGAGCTGCCCTGGTGCAGCGTTACCCCAACTGGGGCCTTCCAGATGCAGCGCCCAACAAGGTAATGAAGACGGTGTCCACCATTGCCAGGTAAGTGCCCTACCACTCTCCTACCATGTCCCCCTTCTTCCTCCTTCAAGCTGGGGTGCTCGCCATAGCCAGGCTGAGCCCCAGCAGACCTTCACCTCCAAGCAGCGCTGCTTCAGACCAGCGCTGCGCTCCAGCAGCATGTCGCCAATCCTTGCATACCGCAAATGAGGAAGAGCTCACCGCTCTTCCTGAAGATATAGCGGCCTACCGGCCTCCTGGTCGGTGACTTCCAAGGCCAAGCGGCCTCCCAGCAACCGGTACCTCCTCCCTTTTGGAGGGAAACATCATTGCAGGCTCTGTTATTGTCCGCACAGGCCCTAGACCCGGGCTACTTGGACTGGTACCGGCCTACCTCTAACCTACCGCTACTGGGCCTCTAAAAATGCCAACTTTTTGTCTTCTTCTGCTCGGCCTACCTGCTACTTGAGTGTTTTTCCCCAGCTGCTCTAACTGTCGTGGGCCTACTCCCCGCTACCGGCATGTTTACCCCCCTGCAACCCTTCAAAGTCACGGCCACAGGTAAGTACCGGCCCGGTGGGCCTTGCAACCAACAAGTACCCTGGCGGGTCACACACATACCCAACCAGCAAGCACTCAGACAGGCATGCAACCCAGCAGGCACGCACACACACACAACCGGCAAGCACTCAGACAGGCATGCAAACCAGCAGGCACGCACACACACAGACTTGGGACCACAGCAGAATGCGGGAATCACAACAAGGCATTCATTCCATTGACAAATCCCAGAAATCAGCAGTGTTCTCAGTCTGGCGTTTTGGGCGGGTCATTACAAAAATAAGAAAATTAAAAAAAAGGAAAACAGGGTTTGAACCAATCTGGGGCCGGTCAGTTCGACGAGGACATCTGAAGTTTGCCGCCCTTTATTCTTGAAAAATGAAAAAATTAAAAAAAAGGAAAACAGGGGGGCAAGCATGTCCCAGTTGTCGAGGCATAGATCTCGCTCCAGGTACACTGGGCTCCCTGCCATCCGATCTTGCTCCAGGTACACTGGGCTCCCTGCCATCCGATCTGAAGATCTCACAGCCACAGTGTGACCACGTTGAAAAATGCACCAAACATAAACTAAGCCCCCGCTGCCTTCCCTCCCCGAACACAAGGTGCGATCGTACAGTGTATTCGGGGGAAGAAGGTGACGCGAGACGGCCGCAGTAAAGAGAGGATCCTTTGTTAATGGGTAGCCGCAAAATCTAATCTAGAGATTTGACACGAATGCCAGGAGACGGACCTTTTTTTTTTTTCCACGAGACGGGCGTAGTCACTAAGGGAGGCTTCTTTTTTCCTCCCTTGTTTTTATTTAATCCTTTTGAACTGGGCGATGGCATTGAGCTATCATCTCCAAACTGACCATTCGCGGGTCAATTCAGATGTATCTACTCATGTGAGTTCGTTGGGATTCAAACTGAGGTCTGCATTTCTTCTTTTTTTTTTCTTTTTTCTTTTTTTTTAAGAAAGGGCGACAGCCTTGAGATGTTATCATTGAGCTGACCAGCCCCAAGCAATTCATTAGTCCTCTTGGTGCTTATGTTCGTGTCGTGATCGCGTTCTGTACAGTTTCTTTCTTCTGTCGTTTTGTGAGGGGGG